CAGGCAATACAATGGCACTAAATTCCTATCTTTCAATAGTTACCCTGAATGTAAATGGGCTAAACGCCCCAATCAAAAGACACAGGCTATCAGACTGGATTAAAAAACAAGACCCATTGATATGCTGTCTGCAAGAGACTCATTTTAGAACCAAAGACACCCCCAGATTGAAAGTGAGGGGGTGGAAAACCATTTACCATGCTAATGGACACCAAAAGAAAGCTGGGGTGGCAATCCTTATATCAGACAAAGTAGATTTTAAACCAAAGACAGTAATAAGAGATGAGGAAGGACACTATATCATACTTAAAGGATCTATCCAACAAGAAGATCTAACAATTGTAAATATATCTGCCCCTAACATGGGAGCAGCCAATTATATAAGGCAATTAATAACAAAAGCAAAGAAACACATTGACAACAATACAATAATAGTGGGGGACTTTAACATCCCCCTCACTGAAATGGACAGATAGTCTAAGCAAAAGATCAACAAGGAAATAAAGACTTTAAATGACACACTGGACCAAATGGACTTCACAGACATATTCAGAACATTCCACCCCAAAGCAACGGAATACACATTCTTCTCTAGTGCCCATGGAACATTCTCCAGAATAGATCACATCCTAGGTCATAAATCAGGTCTCAACCGGTACCAAAAGATTGGGATCATTCCCTGCCTATTTTCAGACCACAATGCTTTGAAACTAGAACTCAATCACAAGAGGAAAGTCGGAAAGAACTCAAATACATGGAGGCTAAGGAGCATCCTACTGAAGAATGAATGGGTCAACCAGGAAATTAAAGAAGAATTAAAAAATACATGGAAACCAATGAAAATGAAAACACAACTGTGCAAAATCTTTGGGATGCAGCAAAGGCAGTCCTAAGAGGAAAGTATATAGCAATACAAGCCTTTCTCAAGAAACAAGAAAGGTCTCAAGTACACAATCTAACCCTACACCTAAAGGAGCTGGAGAAAAAACAGCAAATAAAGCCTAAACCCAGCAGGAGAAGAGAAATCATAAAGATCAGAGCAGAAATCAATGAAATAGAAACTAAAAGAACAGTAGAACAGATCAACGAAACTAGGAGCTGGTTCTTTGAAAGAATTAACAAGATTGATAAACCCCTGGCCAGACTGATCAAAAAGAGAAGAGAAATGACCCAAATCAACAAAATCATGAATGAAAGAGGAGAGATCACAACCAACACCAAAGAAATACAAACAATTATAAGAACATATTATGAGCAACTCTATGCCAGCAAATTAGATAACCTGGAAGAGATGGATGCATTCCTAGAGATGTATCAACTACCAAAACTGAACCAGGATGAAATAGAAAACCTGAACAGACCTATAACCACTAAGGAAATTGAAGCAGTCATCAAAAATCTCCCAAAAAACAAAAGCCCAGGGCCAGATGGCTTCCCAGGGGAATTCTACCAAACCTTTCAAGAAGAATTAATACCTATTCTTCTGAAACTGTTCCAAAAAATAGAAACGGAAGGAAAACTTCCAAACTCATTTTATGAGGCCAGCATTACCTTGATCCCAAAACCAGACAAAGACCCCATCAAAAAGGAGAATTACAGACCAATATCCCTGATGAACATGGATGCAAAAATTCTCACCAAAATACTAGCCAATAGGATCCAACAGTATATTAAAAGGATTATTCACCATGACCAAGTGGGATTTATCCCTGGGCTGCAAGGTTGGTTCAACATCCGCAAATCAATCAATGTGATACAATACATTAACAAAAGAAAGAACAAGAATCATATGATCCTCTCAATAGATGCAGAAAAAGCTTTTGACAAAGTACAGCATCCTTTCTTGATCAAAACTCTTCAGAGTATAGGGATAGAGGGTACATACCTCAATATCATAAAAGCCATCTATGAAAAACCTACAGCAAATATCATTCTCAATGGGGAAAAACTGAGAGCTTTCCCCCTAAGGTCAGGAACGCGGCAGGGATGTCCACTATCACCACTGCTATTCAACATAGTATTGGAAGTCCTAGCCACAGCAATCAGACAACAAAAAGAAATCAAAGGCATCCAAATTGGCAAAGAAGAAGTCAAACTCTCACTCTTTGCAGATGATATGATACTTTATGTGGAAAACCCAAAAGACTCCACCCCAAAACTGCTAGAACTCATACAGGAATTCAGTAAAGTGGCAGGATATAAAATCAATGCACAGAAGTCAGTGGCTTTCCTATACACCAACAACAAGACAGAAGAAAGAGAAATTAAGGAGTCCATCCCATTTACAATTGCACCCAAAACCATAAGATACCTAGGAATAAATCTAACCAAAGAGACAAAGGATCTGTACTCAGAAAACTATAAAATACTCATGAAAGAAATTGAGGAAGACACAAAGAGATGGAAAAACGTTCCATGCTCATGGATTGGAAGAACAAATATTGTGAAGATGTCAATGCTACCTAGAGCAATCTACACATTCAATGCAATCCCCATCAAAATACCATCCACTTTTTTCAAAGAAATGGAACAAATCATCCTAAAATTTGTATGGAACCAGAAAAGACCCCGCATAGCCAGAGGAATATTGAAAAAGAAAAGCAAAGCCGGCGGCATCACAATTCCGGACTTCAAGCTCTATTACAAAGCTGTCATCATCAAGACGGCATGGTACTGGCACAAAAACAGACACATAGATCAGTGGAACAGAATAGAGAGCCCAGAAATGGACCCTCAACTCTATGGTCAACTCATCTTTGACAAAGCAGGAAAGAATGTCCAATGGAAAAAAGACAGTCTCTTCAACAAATGGTGTTGGGAAAATTGGATAGCCACATGCAGAAGAATGAAACTGGACCATTTCCTTACACCACACACAAAAATAGACTCCAAATGGTTGAAAGACCTCAATGTGAGACAGGAGTCCATCCAAATCCTAAAGGAGAACACAGGCAGCAACCTCTTTGACCTCAGCCGAAGCAACTTCTTCCTAGAAACATCGCCAAAGGCAAGGGAAGCAAGGGCAAAAATGAACTATTGGGACTTCATCAAGATAAAAAGTTTTTGCAAAGCAAAGGAAACAGTCAACAAAACCAAAAGACAACCGACAGAATGGGAGAAGATATTTGCAAATGACATATCAGATAAAGGGCTAGTATCCAAAATCTATAAAGAACTCATCAAACTCAACACCCAAAGAACAAAGAATCCAATCAAGAAATGGGCAGAAGACATGAACAGACATTTTTCCAAAGAAGACATCCAAATGGCCAACAGACACATGAAAAAGTGCTCAATATCGCTCAGCATCAGGGAAATCCAAATCAAAACCTCAATGAGATACCACCTCACACCAGTCAGAATGGCTAAAATTAACAAGTCAGGAAATGACAGATGTTGGTGGGGATGCGGAGAAAGGGGAACCCTCCTACACTGTTGGTGGGAATGCAAGCTGGTGCAGCCACTCTGGAAAACTGTATGGAGGTTCCTCAAAAAGTTGAAAATAGAGCTACCATATGATCCAGCAATTGCACTACTGGGTATTTACCCCAAAGATACAAAAGTAGGGATCCGAAGGGGTACGTGTACCCCGATGTTTATAGCAGCAATGTCCACAATAGCCAAACTGTGGAAAGAGCCAAGATGTCCATCGACAGATGAATGGATAAAGAAGATGTGGTATATATATACAATGGAATATTATGCAGCCATCAAAAGGAATGAGATCTTGCCATTTGCAACGACGTGGATGGAACTGGAGGGTATTATGTTGAGTGAAATAAGTCAAAAAGAGAAAGACATGTATCATATGATCTCACTGATATGAGGAATTCTTAATCGCAGGAATCAAACTGAGGGTTGTTGGAGTGGGGGGTGGGGTGGGAGGGATGGGGTGACTGGGTGATGGACACTGGGGAGGGTGTGTGCTCTGGTAAGCACTGTGAATTGTGCAGGACTGTTGAATCTCAGATCTGTACCTCTGAAACAAATAATGCAATATATGTTAAGAAAAAAAAAAAAGAAGAAGAAGAAGAAGGTAGCGGGAGGGGAAGAATGAGGCGGGGGAAATCGGAGGGGTGGACGAACCATGAGAGACGATGGACTCTGAAAAACAAACAGGGTTCTAGAGGGGAGGGGGGTGGGAGGATGGGTTAGCCTGGTGGTGGGTATTGAGGAGGGCACGTTCTGCATGGAGCACTGGGTGTTGTGCACAAACAATGAATCATGGAACACTTCATCTAAAACTAATGATGTAATGTATGGGGATTAACATAAGAATAAAAAAAAAAAAGAGGCTAATAGTTGTAACTCACGAAGTTGTTCACACAAAGCAAGTGAGGTGAGGTCTTCAGAGCAATGACGACAATGTCTAGAACACAGTCCAAAATGTCAGAATTACCAAGATAAGTGAGTCAGAGGTGGGGCTGGGGATAATGCCATAGGACACTTAAAAGATGACCAGAGTCTGCGTAATTACGAGGGTGGTGCCAGGAAGTCAAAAGTAAACGTTCAACAGGAGAGCCAGGTGTTTTAGAAAGCAGTTCACTGTGCTTTCGTTTTGCAACATCATAATCTTCACACTTGACGTCTGGTGCTCGAGTAGGACAGAGCCCTGTGCTAATAACACTAGGCCCTCTTCCTGCATGTCTTTAGCCAGCAGGAACTACTGCTTTGAAAAATCTGCCCTGAATTTTAGATCTAATACCCTCATAACCAGAGAAGTTAAGACATCTTCGTTTTGTCCCAGGAACCTGTGTATACCTAATGTGTGTGTGTCTTAACATTAAAACGATAAAATAGCAATTCATAATAGGCTAACATTCAAAGTCATGCCCAACTTTTCCTTTTGTAACACTTAAATGGAGGTGTGTCATCAATAATATAATCGAAGCAGTCAAGGGTAAATCAAGAATAATTAAAGGTTGATGCACAACCAGGAATAGTACCCCCAAACAAAAATATGAAGGAAAAACCCCATGAAGGGTGGAGCTCTTGCTTACCCAGACAGTATGGATCCCAGAAGATCATCGGTCAAAGGTAACCTGGAGGACTTGCACAGCCTTCTGATGTCTTTGCTGGGTAATACTTTTTTTCTGCATTAAAACAAAGCAAACAGGTCTTTATATATTTTATGTCTCTCGAGTAACAATTACATGCTATAGGACAGAAAATACAGATGCGTCCTAAAAATCTGCACATGGAAATGAGTATGAAAATTGGTATTGGAATTCACAGTAAGGAAAAACAGTCATATTGCATTTCACCAACTCTTTCCATTTCAGAAGTTACCAGATTCTGTCCTTCCAAAGGCCTTTCCATCAAGATTCAGACTCTTGGTTGGTGATAGTACAATATATTACGGCTCAGCCACAAGTGTTGCTCCAAGTAATCGATCTGCATTCTTGACCACTAGTCAAAACTGGTTCTGATATTTGAAAACATCTCTTAATTTGACAGGCATCTAGAGCCTCCAACGCAAGTATTGTATGACTCAAGGGTGTTTTTCTAGTCTTTTCCTTGGACCCAAACCTTGTAACCTTGAAGCCCCAGCTGGGGCTTTAACATTCACCTCGATTTTGTCAGATGCTCTTTCTCCAGAGCGGCTCAACAGCCATTTTCCCCAGCCTGCCAGGGACACAGAAATGCTCGTCCAGTGTTCTCATTCAGCCAGTGTTCTTCCAGGCACCAGGCAAAATCAGAACCAATAGGAAGGAAAGTGAGCTGCTTTATTCACAGTGAGTTTATAAGATGATGAGAGAATGTTTATGTCTAGAATTAAAGCTTGTCAGATCTGGAAGAACCTCAGAGCTGTCTGATCAAGCAGCCCCATCATTCCCAGGAGGTATTCCTTTAGTGAAGGAGGGTCACACTTCTCACCCTGGGCAAGGGGTACCACCAGGGTGGAAGGCAGGGCCAGGGTCATGCAAAGCTCAGGCCATACGGCCTCTGGAGGCTCAGGAAAGCTTAAAGATTCAAGGAAAAATACCATCTTTACAAAAACTCAACAACAATGTATTATGGATTAGGAAAAAAAAAATCATGTTCCTCATTAAGATAAACTGTAGGACCTTTAGAGGTATTTAGGGTATGCAGCCGGCCACTTGGGTACAAACTTCAGGTCTGGGGATGATGGGAGGGGTCATAGGGCAAAGAAATGTCAGTGATACGTAGTAACAAAATTAGAGGCTAGAGTTAGGACTAAGATTTTCTAACTCCTGGTGAATATTTCCCCCCTACAATATCAGGTCTGTGGGTAAGATGAACACCAAAACGTATTAAGATGGGGCTCCAATTTATACAAAAGACTTAATAAAGTGCAACAGAAACATGGCATATGTACTAGAAATTGATTATGCTGAGCTTCATTATTTTCAAGAAGAAATAATTTCAAAGAAATTCTATAGAAAGTTTACTTGTAAATTTCCTGTTTTCTGTATTAGAAAAGACACATTTATAAATCCCAGTTATCACTAAAATAATGTAAGAAGACATATCAGAATTAAAGCTTCTAACATCTGGATTTACTATGTTTCGGTTGAAAGCCTCTAGAAGCCAATTAAAAGGAAATGGAAAGGGGCATCCTTATTTTTTTGAAGATACAGGACCTTCCCTATTCCATCAACAAACAAAGCTCACCATCGCTACAAAATATTGGTACCCAAATACTTTCCAAAAATGATTTAAAGTACATTTGCTATATAGTGAAGTATGATGGGACATCTCAATGTTCTTTTTGCCCTGTTGGATAAAGTATAAACTCCTTCATTACGTAGGGCCGCAGAAACTTAAATGATTTACTAAAATCGATAAAATAAAAGCTTACTTTTCTCGATCTTGGTATACACAAGTAGCAGTGAGCCTTTCAAAATTCTCAAAAGTGTTCTTCTTGAGCTGTTCATGGGCCTGTGCAATTAGGACATTCATATCAGGACTCGTGTCCTCGGGCACCTGGTAGTGACGTGCAAGGGTTATAACTTCATGGTCTGTGAGTTTCCCAACAGTTAGACTCATTATTATGTCTCTGTAAAGAAAATGAGAAATTACTCGTGAAATTACATCTAAGAATATTTTACTCTCTTTCTATTAAAAATATCTAAATTCCGGGGTGCTTGGGTGGCTCAGATGGTTAAGCATCTGCCTTCAGCTCCGGTCTTGATCTCCAGGTCCTGGGATCAAAGCCTCTGTCAGGTTCCCGGCTCAACAGGGAGTCTACTTTGCCATCTCCCTCTGCCTCTCCCCCTGCTCATGCTCTGTCTCTCTCTGTCTCAAATGAATAAATAAAATCTTTTAAAAAATCCAAATTCCATTTTATAAAACTTTTATCAACTGCACAGAGGACAGGTGACTATTTTTCAATTTAATTGCTACTTCACTTATGAGCAGCAGGAAGACAACAGGGCTAGAAGGGAAAACCATTAAGCACTATAGTTTCTAAATAAAATGGCATCTTGCCCAGAGTCAAACTTCTACCAGGTAACAGCCTGCAACCAGAAAGGAAATCTTTCAAAGTCCTTGAATGGTCAAAAAAAAAAACAACAAAACCTGTCACCAAATACATGATTTCGTTCAATGCCTATTAATCTTACTTTACACAGAATAGTAACAGACTTGGGGTTCTGGCTTCCCAGGGTATAAAATTTATAAATCAGCACATTCGAAAAGCCTTTTCGAGTTGGAGAAAGCAATTGCTGCAGTAAAAACTAAGACTGACATACCCTGCCGGTGAGAAAAAAGTGAGAGAAGAGAGGAAAAAGTGAAAAGCTTTGTAGAGGAACAGTGTCTGAGTCTTTCGAAGGCAAATAGCATTAAAATTATGTGGCAGAGCTAGAAAAACAAATGACAACAATGACATATTAATGAAGACGCCTCAAAGCCTAACAAATTGGCAGGATTGTTTTCAATGTATTCTCTACATCAAAGTGATAAACCATGCAGCATGTGTAAGAAAGAAGTACAGCAAAATAGTTAAAATGCCAACTGCTACAGGGGTTACATGAATAAGCTTCCACCATCTAGAAAATCTACTTACTGAGAAAAATTCAGTTCCCAAGAATCCCAACTAAGTGATGGAAGACGAGATTTTATTTGCTCTTTGGCTACAGACTGATATTTTCGAATAATGGGTTTTAGTTCTTTTATGTATTTCTTGTCATTATCACCATCATCGAAGATCTCTGAGCTTTCCTAGTCAAGAATTTCCTTAGAGTGTAGGAAAGCCCACAGCTATGATGTTGACCCACCTGAAGAAATTGCATTTCACCTATATCCACTTCTCAGGGTTTCTGGGTTTTTTGTTTTGTTTTGCTTTTATTTATTTATTTATTTTTTAATTGGAAAATGAAGACCAAATTCAACCAAGAGGACCCCACAATTGTATCAGGTCGGTTTGGGTCAGACAATCAATCAACAATATTAGCTGGGGACTCACTGTGTGGAAAACACTGCATAGTCACTTTGGCACCTGAGCTTTTCAGAGTCTATAAACTATTACAGCCATCCCAGCACACACAGATGAGCTCTCAATGCCATAAACTGGGAGGGCTGCTTGAATGAATTGAGTAATAATAATAACCCTTGCCATTCATGGAGTACAAGCTCGGTGCAAGGTCCTGTGCTGCCAGGGACTTCTGGCATGGTCCATCTCATCTGGCCTAGAGGATAAGGACTATTACTTTTTTTAAAGATTTTACTTATCTGAGAGAGAGCGCAAGCAGGGGGAACAGCAGAGGGAGAAGCGGACTCCCTGATGAGCAGGGAGCCTGACGCGGGGCTCGATCCCAGGACCCTGGGATCATGACCTGAGCTGAAGGCAGAAGCTTAACCGACTGAGCCACCCAGGTGCCCTGATAGGAACTATTATTATTCCCATTTTATAGATGAGAAACGGAGGCACTGAATACACCCAACATGCTGAAAGCCAGACTAAGAACCCCTGTAGTCTGGCTCCAAAGCCCATGGCCTTGCCTACTCTTCTGTCCTCTCTTCTGTTAGGACACAGAAGACAGAATGAGTGGATGGAGTGGGGCTCAGTGAGGGAAAGTTGCCTAAAGACTGTGGGTTTTAAAAGAGCTGACTGTTTATAGACCTCTACTCCCTTTACTGTCCATGACCTCTGCTTTGAGGACTATCACTGATCAGCAGAAACAAGGAAGAGAAAATCATTTCAGAAACCCTGAGTCACCAACCATGAGATAGGACTACGAGACCACAGAGGAACCACTTCAAGGAAAGCCCCAGGCTCGTTTAGAACACTGGTCATGGAATAATCAGTCATGACATGTGCATAAAATGGAACGCTATGCAACCATGAAAAGATTATTGATTGGTATTTACTGGTATGAAAGATGCCCATGCTATATGGATAAATGTATGATCCCAGTGAAACTGAAAATACTAGTACCTATATATTCATGGGTGAAACCGGGGATGGGGATTAAGGAGGGCACTTGTCATGATGAGCAGTGGGTGATGTACAGAAGTGTTGAATCATGCTATTGTACACCTGAAACTAATATGATACTGTATGTTAACTAACTGGAATTTTTTTTTAAAGATTTTATTTATTTATTTGACAGAGAAAGACACAGCCAGAGAGGGAACACAAGCAGGGGGAGTGGGAGAGGGAGAAGCAGGCCTCCCGCAGAGCAGGGAGCCCGATGTGGGGCTCAATCCCAGGACCCGGGGATCATGACCTGAGCCGAAGGCAGACGCTTAACGACTGAGCCACCCAGGTGCCCAAACTAACTGGAATTTTTAAAAAGATTTATTTACTTGAGAGAGAGCAAGAGCGAGCAAGCAAGAGAGAGCAGGTGGGAGGGGCAGAGGGAGAGGGAGAAGCAAGCTCCCCAATGAGCTCAGGGAGCCCGATGCGACACTCGATGCCAGGACCCTGGGATCATGACCTGAGCCGAAGGCAGCCGCTTAACCGACTGAGCCACCCAGGCACCCAACTAACTGGAATTTAAATACAAACTTTAGAAAAAAGACGAAGGATATACGCCAAAACATCTACAACATCATCCCCGATAGCTGAGATTTCTTTACATAGACACACATGTATATACAAGAGAGTTTCTGCTTTTTCTGAACTTTTGTAATAAACAAATATTACTTTCATCATCATAAAAAAAAAACCCATTTGGAAGTTTTTTTCCTTTTGAGGGTAGAAACAGTGTGAAAAGAAAGACAAGTGGCACACTCCCAAGGACAAGGGAAAAGAACGTGTGCAGCAATAACTAGAAACTTTCCATGTACCTTTAACTAAACTTATTCTAGCACCCCCAGGTCATAAAAGTTTATTTTCCTTTTCATTGGATAACCTGAAATTGTCCTGGCCTCACTGCAATTAAAATTTCTATCGGCTGGCTCTCTGCAGGCTTGGGTTTTAAACAACTCAGTATCCCACCGGTTCCAAAGTCTTTACATGAGGGTTTCAAACAAGCTGCCCCAGACTTACAAGTGCCCCTGGTAATGCTGGATGCCAGGGGCCCCAGAGCGGATGCTGGTGTGGCCGATGTGCCCATTGTCCCCACCTGAGGCAGGGTCCCAGGACTGGGGATCCCAACCAGGAAGGGCAAGACTTGTCCTGCAGAGCTCAAGTGGCCGCCATTACTTTGCCCTGCCTTTGCCACATGCCCCTTCTTTAGGATTCAACCCACCCAGTCAAACTTGAATGGGCTTCACCAAGAATGAGGGTCTTCTCACCCTGCCTTTTTTTGGGTTGTGGTAAAACACCCAGAACATACAATGCACCACTGGTGGCATTTAGCACATTCACAACATTGGACAACCACCACGTCTGTCTCTTCCAGAACATTTTCATCACCTTGAAGAAGCTAGTCACTCTGCTTTCTTCCTTCCTCCCTGCCCTCTCCCCACCTGGCAACAACTAATCTGTTTTCCATCTCTGCGGACTGGCCAGTTCTGGATATTTTGTAGATATGGAATCATGGAGTATTGTCTTTCGTGTCTGGCTTTTCCTGCTTGGCCTAATGTCTTCATGTTCACATCCCTGTTGTAGCATGTATCAGTATTTCATTCCTTTTTGGGGCTGAATAGTATACCATTGTATGAATGTACCACATTTTGTGTATCCATTCATGCATCGATGCACATTTGGGTTGTTTCCACCTTTGTGCTCTTGTGACTAGAGCTACTGTGAACATTCATGTCCAAGTTTTAGTTTGAATGCCTGTTTTCGATTTTGGGGGTATAGCTACCCAGGAGTAAAACTGCTGGGTCACTTAGGAATTCTATATTTAACCTACTGAGGACCCACCAAATGGTTGTCTGCATATTCTGTTTTGCTAGCAGCTGCCACGAAAACAAAGATCCAACTTCCATCACCATAGCCCTTCCTCACTTAAACCTTCGGAGTGAAGCTGAAATATGATCTGAGAGCAAAGTCTGCTCTTGGTGCTTCCCACCCCTTCATTTAAGGGAAATGAAAATTCATTTTAAAAAGGAACTTTCATGGTATTGGTCTGGTGTTCTGTGATTACTAGCGCTAATTGTAAAAACTCAAAATGGCAATCATCTTTGCCTTTACTCAACATTGTACTATGTTCCTGGCAATAATATTTTATATGGATCATCACAGTATTATTTAGTCAATCTTTTAAGGGATGCTGCCATGATTTTCTCTCAGTTTTTGTAATTAAAGTCGTTAAGAGTCAAAAAAAAAAAAAGAAAGAAAGAAAGAGAGAGCGCCAAACTGCTCTAGGGTATTGAAGTAACCAGGCAGAATTCTGAAACATGAAATGCTAAGCAGTTTTACAAGATATAATTCCATTAAAGTCACCCACTCAAGTAACAATGAATAAAAATTTCATTTTAAAGCTCTGAATCTCAGGGTATTTTCTTACACATTGAATCGGTAAAGTCTAAGCAAGAACTTTACTAACAACTAAAAAAAATTAGCTTCAACGTAAACAAGGGCTCAAGAACTGAAGCTTTGGGCTCTAAGGCTTACAAGAAAATCTGGTTGAGCCTAAGTTAAACCAAGTAGCAATTCTGATGACA